GACTCGATGGTTTGAGTTTGCGTACAATCCGGAACATAATTGAAGTCTTGTTCAGATTTACGGGAATCGAGATCCTCGTTTTCTGCTACAACCCAAAGCTAAGATCGGGAGAGAAAACTTTAGACTGCTATTTCTACCAGATTTCTCAATGTACCAGGGCCAGCTTTGCAAATACCTTTATTCACCTTATACATACTCGGGACGAGCATGTGCCCTAAGAAGGGGGCAGTGTTCCGGGCCGGTGTGGACTCGACCTAACCTCACAATTTGGCCCGCCCTCGGATGACCTTAACATCGCATAGACACCGCAATGATTCAATCGTTCGAGAAGAATCGAGTCCCACTGGAATGGACGAGTAAATACGAGAACATTCGAAAACCTTCTCTACGCAGCTAACGATCTATGCGACTATTCTAGAGTTCTTTAACTGCCGGTATAAAAGCCGGCGGCTGTGGCCTACAGCGGGCAGTTATAAATATACAGTTGACACGCCGCTGAAAAATTCAGAAATAAATTCCTTAGTTATTAAATCTTTTGTACATAGTTCTATAAGTCTTTATCGTTATTATTGTTGTTAATTCAGTTTTAAATAAATCATGTTTAATAAATTGTGATTTTTTATCCACACGGAACCGACGGAAAAACGTAACAATATTAACACTATAGCCCAAGTCAAATTTCACCTAAAAAGAAGTTCCATATGATGAGGAATTAATCTGGACACTGATAAAAATAAAACTAAAGGGTTGTCTGAATACTTATATTTAGAAAAATTAAGTTTTTTTTTGTTTTCAAATAATAAAAATTAAAAATTGAATTACGGAGTTAAAAAGGAATTTAGTGATTAAAATTTCGCACCTTTGCATCTCCATTTATTTTGCGTTTTCTATAACTAGTTTCCTCATCATCTTCCTAAAAAAGGAAGGTATCAATCAATCAATATCAAATCAAATTTACCCAACAAAACAATTTTTGACACCCTGTAACCTTTTTTTCAGATAAAAAAAAACGAAATTTGGGTAGGTTTTAAAGTATATTGCAAATAAATTAGATTGATTAACGTATTCAATTGTTTTCGGTCACTTCCTGTTTCACCGGAAATGACTAAAATTTCTGATTTTTAAATGGCACCTTCGGTATTTTTTCGATAGAAAATGATACTCTAAATAGAATGACATATCCTATGTCAACTTTTGACATTTTCGCATATGGTTTTTCGAAAAAATTGAGATATGATTAAAAATACGATTTGGGCATCTTTTAACTGGCCAGAACAAGACACTAAAAACATTAGACAATCAAATCTATTTTTCCTAGGATCCTTGATTAAAAATTAGTGTTTTAACACTCTAGCTTGAAATTTAAAATACGATTTTTTTAAGCAAAAAAGTCAAAAGTTGACATATGATGTCATTCTATTCAGAGTGTCATTTTCTATCGAATAAAGTACCTAAAAAATCCCGAGGGTGCCATTTAAAAATCAAAAGCTGTAGTCGCTTCCGGTGAAACAGGAAATGACCGAAAACTATTGAATACGTCAATCAATCCTAATTTATGTCATATACTAACATACCAAGTTTTTTATCTAAAAAAAAATAAGTTATAGGGATGAGCCACTTTTGAGACGCACCCGGTATATTAGGAAATCTTTAGAAGAAAAAATAAGTTAAAACAAAAATAAAGCTTACTGGAATATTGGTTGGATTAGTAATACAGTAATGGTATAAAAAATGATTTTATATTGCCTGGAGTAATCAATGCATTTTTGCCATTACCTTTATAGCTTTCAGAAAAATAATAAAACCACTTGTTTGAACCACCAAAAGAAAATATAACCACCCTTTTGGAATAATCATTTGAGATTCTCCAAATTTATTGTTAATTTCCACCAAAACCTTCCCTTAAAACAGAGATGGCGAACCTTTTTGATTTTTTTATTCATATTTTTTTAATACTACTGCTTGGGTCACTAATACCCATTAAGGGCACCAGAGTTAAGTTTAAAATTTTTAATACTGAACAATTTTTAAAACTAGATATTTTTAAAATTCAACTACGGTAACGGAATTTTTTTTCAGCTAACAAAATGTGAATAAAATTATTATACACTTTCTTTGACATTTTGTGAAGCCTTTTACTTCATTTCAAAATTTCAAATTCGCCATCACTGCCCTAGAACATCACAAATAAGATACTCCAACAAAACTGAGGCAAAAAGAAGAACTACCAGTTAAAATCTTTTTAGAGAAAATCTAGACAAAATTTCTACTCTCAAGAAAAATACCATATTGTGATCGAAAAAAAAAACCGCGTCAAAAACGGCTGGGAATGACAATTGATGATAATTTTGGCGAGGTCAAGCTTCAGATGTCATTACTACGCCTATACTCTTTTTTATTTTTTAATGGTGCTTACTGCACTTAAAATTCGAGAAAAAATAATTTTTTTGAAGTAGATTTGTGTCTGAAAACATTCCATCCTTTTTTAATCTTCTTATAATTAGTGTTAAATTTGACAAGTTTTATGTCAATTCTTAGTAGATGACGTCTAGAGAATGACCTTGCCAAAATTATCATCGATTATTATTCCCCAGCCGTCTTTGACACCAATTTTTTTTTCGATTGTATGGTATTACAAATAAATAAGAAATGCAAAGGTATTTAACTAGATTTTGTAGCGATTTAACAGGGGAAAGGAGATTAAAAAAATAAAAACTACTTGCCAGCTTGCTTGCTATGAAATTCCCCAACTTCTTGCCGAGTTTATTTCGTAGGGAGTTTCCTAGAAACTAACATTAACCATCAGAAGCGTAAAGTAGTCGAAAATGTATTTAAAAACAAAGAAACCAGACCCAGTTTTGTTGGAAATATAACCGACATATACAACGATGAGGAAACTAGACAAGAAATACATTACTTCACCTACATCACATTTAATTAAGATATTTATTAATGCCTGTATGCACTGTCATTGTTTCAGCATGCTTAAATTGACATTTTATTGAATATTATAAAATAGGAAAATCAATAAAAGTTGGCAATGTTGTTAGCTCTCGCAGTTGAATACATGAGACAGAGATAAATATAAATGACTGGTTGACAGACAGAGAAACAAAATAAAATCGACATACAGTGTTGCTGTTTTTTACATGTGTAGGAAAATGTAGTAAAAAAAATTAACTCTTTTAAAAACTTTCGCTAAATATAATCTATTACAGTTGTAGTAAAATGAGTAATTAATCGTGAAAAATAAAGTTCCAACTCTAGATGCAACAATTTTTGTTTTCAAATGCAACAGATGCTGCGTTTGAAATTTTGATGCAAAATCTGGCAATACCACATAGAAGAAATGTCTCAACCCTACGCTAATGCCTCAAATCGCTAGAATCCGCTAGAAGCGACGCTGAAACTGAAATTATACAGTGCTGCCTATTTTTGTACATTTCAAAAAGTATTGTATCAACCTCATTATCAGACGGATTTAATGCAACTTCGATTTTAGGCGATTCTAAGCCTAGGTACCAGATAGAACATAAATAATAATTTTTGTATAAATTTTATTTATTTATTATTGAAAATTTTAAATCACAAAAAAACGGTAGCTGCTATTTTTTTCCCTCCTAAACTGAAGAAAAAAACGCAAAGTTGGCAACTGTGCCTGGACGTCATAAAATTTTTGACAAATGCACGTCGCAGTGTTGGCACTGTTACTTTTTTACTTTGACGTGTGTTTGACAAGTAACAAATAATATTTGCAATTTTATCACTATTGATTCTTCACTTCAGTTTTAGACACAATACATAAATAAATACTTATTTTATCTACATTATTACTTGGTCTATGATTTATTAGACAAACAAATTCTAATTAAATGGAGTTATTGACAAATTTTCTGAATAAAGGCTTGCAAAATTGTTAAGGTTTTAATTGGTTAACATTAGCCTTCAATTTTGTGAGATTCTAATCACAGCTGAAATACACTGAAAGGTACTTTCAAAAAAGCTGCAAAACTTAAGCAAAAATATCAATTTTTACCTTTGTAACCCTGTTTAATGCCAAAAGGAACTAGCCATGATCTTTTTCCTGTTCAAAATATATGAATACAGATGAAACAAGTTGCTGATTCTAACTATTTAGTGGTTATGACACTTTATTGCATTGAAAATCAGTTTTAACCAAACAAAGTACAGATATAATTTCTAATTTCTCAAAGAAAACTGGGAATAAAATTAAAAATGACAAATATCAGTTCAGGAAAAAATTAATAAAATCAAAAAACAACACATTACTACCAACATAAAACATAATTTTTTATTGCCCAATTCGTTTACTTGATGCCACAGTTTGCTGTTTTTTTAAACCGAGATCTGAGTATAAAAAAAGGAAAAAAGTGCACTCTGAAATAGTTTTGACAACGTGCAAGCCAACTTTCCTTGATTTCTCTTTATTTAAAACGAGTTAAACTGAAAACAGTGCATTATAGAGGCATAAGAACAAGTCTGAATTATTAATTCTGATAACACAGTTTTAAAATTATTAAATTTGCTACTTACAGCTCCCTCCTCTCCTTCATCATCTTCTATCATTTCTTCCTCCATCTCATCCATATCTTCGTATTCTTCTATGGGACCCCCAATCAAATGATGCCCGCTAATATGAACAGGTCCGTTACCTTGGATTAGCGTAAACGTTACTGGGGGGTCTGGGAACGAGAGGTCTAGTAATACTTGTCTGTTTGCGCCAGCCTTTAAGACAGCAATTGGAATTTTTACTGAATCCTTCCATGTCATTGCCTCCACTTGTACTACATTATCCTCGCCTAAAAACATACAATTTACGGTAATATATTGTTAAAAATCATGCAATACTTCAAGCTTACCGTCTGCGGCTTCTGGTCCTAATAGAGCATGTTTTATGATAAGTTTGTGGCCCCCTTGGTAGTCATCCGCTGCGGCGCCTTTTTGCTTCGGGTCCCAAACCTCCGTGGAGTTCTTTCCTTTTAATGTAAGTGCTTGGTAGTCATCCGCTGCGGCGCCTTTTGCTTCGGGGTCCCAAACCTCCGTGGAGTTCTTTCCTTTTAATGTAAGTGCTGAAAACAAACAATTCCGATGAATACATAGCTGGTTAATAAGTACCGATAATGGCGCCAAATACCGGCTTCTACAAGCGGCCTAGCGGCATCGATTCTGACGTTTCCGCCAAAAATACGAACGGAAATAAATAATATAAACGTTGTACGTACCGAAAAAGTATTCATCTGCCATTTTAAACTGTGGATGGTTTTGGATTTCGGGAGATTTGCACGTGACTAGACGCCGAGTGAAGCGTTAAAGGCGGACGAGAAATATGAAAGAGGACGAGAAGTTGCCGCTTTGATAGATGAACAGAAATGGCGGGCGCAGTTCGTCCAGAGGGCGCTTCTGCTTGTACGTAATGGATGTGTCTACAGTCCGTCAAATGTAAAAATTATTTTTCGAATAATACCCACTATTTCTAAATGATTTATAGTTTATTTTTACGTTTTTTAATTGTTATATTAATTTCATAGATCTCCTTAATTTTTCTACTTCTAGGAAAGTCAAAAAAATTAATCGGAAAATACAGGATTAACTGCATATCTGTAGCCACTCCCAAAACTGTTTTTGAAAAAGTCAAATTCAAATCTTTATTGACAATTTATTTTTTTATATTTGTTTTTAATCGGCTATTTTTATAAATTGACAATTAAATTATATAATAATAAAGTTTATAAATTTATTCTACGAATAAATCTAATAATAATTGATAATGAAATCAAGATGAAGCATACCTACTAAAGTAAATAATTAAACCTTTTCCATCGATTTCAAATTTATATTTATGTATTTTAGTTATAATAAATTTGGTATTTATTAATATATAAATTATGATAATTTCATAATCAATATAACAGTTTTTTTTCTATTAAAAAAGGCTTATTTTATTTAAATTCTTTTTATCAAAAATTTGACCAATGAAATGTTTACAAATAAATATTTGACAATTTTGAAGTGTCTAGTCGTGCGCTTAACGGAAGAATGAAATAAATTTTTAGAGTCCGGTTTTGTTAAACAATACAAACAAATTAATTATTTAAAATAATTTACTCCAATAGTTTATATGCCTAGGATTCTTTATTCGAGTAACAATTACCCAATTACCTGAAAGTAATAAATAATCTTAAATATTCCGAGACGATATTTATTTGAACACCGGACAATTAATTTATTTTGTTCATCCGTTTAGCGTACATCTATCGACACCCAAAATGTTAGACGTCAAAAACCTAACCTCTGAAAATGTGTTTTGAAATTTTCTTCCATTCAAAAATGAATTTTAATATTATTTTAGTACTTTTAATATTATTTTCTAATTCTATTTGCGAAGATAAACAAGATACCGAGTCTGACGAAATATTTGTACCAACTAAAGAGTGGAAAGTTATAAAAGCAGGTGCCATAACAAACATATTGAGTCCATTTTTAACTTAAAACGTTATTTTTTAAGGCCAAAAAGTCCCCTCTGGTTTACATTACCGAATAAATTTGTCAACCGGTAAAAAGGAAGCCAAAATCAACGAAGATGACGAATCAGATACAAATAAAAAAGGTATTTCAGTGATAAAAGAAGATGAAACTCTGTACAGTGCTCTGAAAGATGTAGATAAGAAAAACCCCGAGAATGACATGCCCAAGAAATTTCGCACTTTAGACGAGATAAAGAAAGATTTAGGAGACATAGAAATTACTCCTAAAAGTGATGTTGAAATTTTACAAGACTTATTTGCAAAATTCCAAGAAGAAGATAAGAAAAAACAGCCAAATACTAAAGAAATTTTAAAGATCTTGAAAGACTTAATATATTTAAGCCATCAGATTGATAATGGAAACGAATTTGTTAGAATGGATGGTTTCAAAAAGATCGTTTATAAGAAGCTTAATTCTACCAATCTTGCTGTTAAACAAGAAGCATTAAAACTGTTTAGTACACTTGCTCAAAATAGTCCTAAAGTGAAAGTCCATATTCTTGAAACAGGAGGGATCACAATACTGCTGAGGTTGTTAAATTTGGATGATAACCCTCATATAAAAAATAGTGCTGTTACTGCTTTAAGCTGTACGCTACGAACATTTCCTTATGCACAGAATAGATTTATTGAAGCAGGAGGTTTGACAATATTTTCAAGTTTATTTAAGTCAGGTTCAGTTAAACTGAAATTAAAGCTAGTAACTTTATTAAATGACTTTATAATAGAAAGACAAAAAGATGTAAGTAACTTTGAGAATCATGAGCTGGTTGATATTGAAGAGAAAATTATACGAAGCTAGGTTGGTGTGTAACAGCTTGAACAATTTGTTAACCGATTTAATACAAATAGACATTTATGACTATGATTCAATAGAGAAATGTTTGTTGCCCATGAAAGGTATGGCAAAAAATGCAGTAATAGTTATAATAAGGCACTTTTCAACCAACTAGAGAGTTCCTACAGTCACTTAAAAGATGAAGATACAGAAGATTATTTTCAGTACATTATAAACGATTTAATCGGTGTGTTACTTTATGAAAATAACAATAATAAACAAAAAGTAAAGCAAGGAAGAATTATAAAAGACTGAGGTAAAAGAGTTTATATTATTTTTGTTAACCACAATACAAATTGAAAAAATAAAATCTAATTTATTGCAAATAAGTCTTTAACTTTAAATATCATCCAAAATTACAACTAAATCTTCTGAAGGTGGTCTACGTTCCATCTTCTCGTCAGTACAGCAATAGTAGATTTCTAATATTTTGTCATATTTGTTACCTAAAACAAAAAATAATTATTACATTTTTTTAAGTCTATATTTCTCAACCTAGTTCAACATCAGTTGGTAGTGGTGGTCTACTTCTTGCAGACATTTTTTCTAAGAGCTTATCAAATTCTGCAACATCCATGTTGGTGCAATTTTCTAAGCTGTCTGCTACATCTTCTGTTACTGGAGGACACAAGGCTATCATTTCCCAAATAACAAGTCCAAATGAATATATATCCGCTAGAACAATTAACAGTATAATTTTATTTCAATATATATACGAAGAAAAATACTTTGTTAGTTATTATTTGTATGTGGTGCAACTAAGTACCTCGTGTGCAGCTTGAGTACCAATGTTCACCCCTCAGTTTTTTTTTCATGTTAATATTACCTGCTTTTTTGTCAGTGGTAAACATGTTCCAAAATCGCATAGCTTACAAATTACGAAATCCCCTTTGATTAACACATTGTAAGACTTTACATCACAATGCATGATTAGGGCAGTGTTATGGAGATAATTGAGAGCCTGTGCTACGTCTTGAGCAACTTTTGTTATGAGTTCTGGAGAAAAAGGTCCACCTTCGTCATCGCTTCTTGTTTCAATAATGTCGCCTAAAGAACTGCTACATTCCTCCATAGCCAAGATGTTATTACCGTCTTTGTTCTCGAGAAAGGCTCTGAAACCGACTACGTTTGGATGCACGAGTTTTCTTAATATATCAGCTTCATTTCTGAGCCTCTCTTGAATGGCGTTGTTGTTTTTGTTACGTCTTATGAGTTTCTTGATTGCCCACGGCGATCTGAACTTGTTGAACGCCGGGGAACGTTCTAATTCATAAACAGCGATTCCTAAAAGGTAGAAAATAAACATTTCGAGGCTTGAAATTATGTTTTAAGTACCTGTTCCAAACCCAATCTTTTTCATGCAAGGCGATGGAGATGGACCTTCCTCAAAAGACCAAGGTCGGGTTTTTAGGAGTGCGCTCCATATTATTTCCTCGATTATTTATTTTATTCGAAAGATTTAACACCAAACTACACTATTTTTACTCAAAAATTGTTTTTACTTTAAACAACAAACGTTATCAATTTAAATTTTAACCGTCTTCATCAATATCGTTAAATAATAGTCACAACAGCCAATAAAAATATTTTATCCCAGATTTTTGTTATTGGCTCTGCTGACCTCTATGAAGAAACTGTTAAACTATTTTATGCAATGGTTGCCATCTGTTGCTTGGTAGGATAAATTACCGATCGATAATATAGGCTTTCATAAAAACTGGAGATTAGTTCTGCTTTTGTATTAGATGACAGTATAATAATATTTAATACCGAAATTAATCCCCAGAGGGCGCACGAAACAGTAGGAATGCCAAATTTAAAAATTCGATATATTTATCAATACGGGTACATTGGTGACCCGCATAGCCGACAACAGGCCGAATTACAGGGAAATGATCTAAATATGTAAAGGAAATCTACACCATAATTAGAAATATTTGAATAATCTGGAAATTGAAATTACGATGATAGATACATTTCAAACAAATATCGATATTATATTTCACATCTGTTTTCGTTATCTCACTAAGGAGCATAAAATGATTATTTGAATACTCTGACATTTTGACATTCTTCGGGACACGGGACATTTTTTTTTATTATTTTTTTTGGCATTTTCTTTATTTTTTTTTTTTTTTTTTTTTTAAAATTATTTATAACACCGTGTTGGTTGTAAATCCCTTATACCATGGATTTTTTGGAATACTCCGACATAAGTTCGGAGACAAAAGGATGCATGGTAAGTGTTTCACAAGCTTTCTTGTTGTTGCTAGGGTACAAGTTTGTTTTACTTTGTAGATTTTTTTTTTTTTTAATGTTTTTAATCAAAACATAATATTCCGGGCAACAGCAAGACCGGTAAAGTCGAACAAATACCCTCGTCTGATTTAGAAGCAGTAAACTTCCAAAATTTTGCTGGCACATGGGGCATTCGCATGTTTATGAAGAACGGCACATTACACAGATACGTAGGTTTCAAAGAATCCGACAAAGAAAAAATTGCCAAGTTCTTTTCGAATACCTACAAGATAGATATGCTGGAAAAAGAATTAAGCTTGAAAGGATGGAACTGGGGCACTGCCAAGTTTAAAGGCTCAGTTTTAAGCTTCGATATTGGCGAAAAAAGCGCTTTTGAAATACCTTTGAACCATAAGCCACAGTGCACTGCTGAAGAATGAAATATGGAATTTCATCAGGTTTGGATGTTTTTTTATGTTCTTTAGAAGATTTATACATTTTTTTAATATAGAATGATGATGCCCCTGTGAGTCTTATGGAAATGCGATTTTTTATTCCTTCAAGTGAATTGGCAGGCGATACAGACCCAGTCGAAGCGTTTCAACAGAATGTTATGCAGAAAGCGAGTGTCATCAATGTGTCTGGCGATGCTATTGCTATATTTACAAATGAAACCGAAATAAATTTATTTAAAAAAATTACTTTTTGAAAAATTGCTCTATCTCTACATTATTTTTATTTTAGAAATTCGATATGACATTAAAATCTTTACCTCCTTTTTCCAACTTCACGGTAAAACATTCGATTACAAGATTCCCATGTCGACAGTTCTGCGTTTATTTATTCTACCCCATAAGGATGGTAGACAGATGTTCTTTGTTGTAAGCTTAGATCCTCCAATAAAACAGGGTCAAACTAGGTACCACTTCTTGGTGCTTCTTTTCAAGCAGGAGGATGAAACTTCAATAGAGTTACCATATACTGAGTAAGTTTTTTAAGTGTTTTATTTTTTTCTTAATGATGTTTTAATTTTTGTAATTTTAGTGAAGAATTGAAGGAGAAATATGAAGGTAAATTAGAGAAAGAGTTGTCTGGGCCGACTTACGAAGTTTTAGGAAAAGTTATGAAGCATATTGTGGGAAGGAAGCTTACAGGACCTGGAGGGTTTATTGGGTAAGATTAATGCGTTGTTTATAACAAGAAATTCTCTGAACATTCATTAACATCATTGATTTACTATACATATAGTTGCTTACTTGATTAATTTTTTCATAGACATTCAGGTACCCCAGCTGTGGGTTGTTCCTTCAAGGCAGCTGCTGGTTACTTGTACCCACTGGAAAGAGGGTTCATATACGTTCACAAACCGCCTCTTCACATAAGATTTGAAGAAATTTCTTCTGTGAACTTCGCTAGAGGTGGTGGAGGTGCAAGATCGTTTGATTTTGAGGTTGAGTTGAAGTCAGGAACAGTTCACACGTTTAGCAGTATCGAAAAGGAGGAATATGGGAAATTATTTGATTTCATAACCTCAAAGAAGATCAATATTAAGAACAGAGGAAAGAGTGTAAGTTTGTTTTTGAAGGAAGTTGTTTGTATGTTTGACTACTAGTAATAATAACTATTATACCATTACGATCGAAAAACGGCGTCAAAAGAAGGCTGAGAATGACAATCAATGATCATTTTGGCGAAGTCAATCTCTAGATGCACCATTTACTAAAATTTGACAAAAAACCTTGTCAAAAATTAACAGATAGAAAAGGTTAAAAAAGGATAGTTTGAAAAAAAAAACAACTAACATCATTTTTAATCAATATAAAAATAAATTACAACCTTCTTAAGGCCAGCTGGCAGTAGCGCCATTAAAGAATAAGAAAAATTGTACAGGCAATGTTAATAACGTCTAGGGCTTGACCTCGCCAAAATTATTATCGATTGTCATTCCCAGCCGTCTTGATACCGTTTTTTAGGTTGTATGAGTATTAAAAAAGGATAATTGTTGACACCAGAGAAAATTTATCTATAAACTAGTTAAACACTTTTCTGGTTTCTTTATCTTTTGATAAAATTTTTATGACAGGCACTGATATTGTGTTTAAAGCAACGTCTACACGTAACGTTTTACCTGTCAGATAGGAGGAGCATACATTTATACATTGAAAGCATACAAATTGAAAGTTTTACCTGCGGTTTTGTTTTATAAATTGTAGTAGTGAAAGACATTACATTATTTTAAAAATAAACCCATGTGTATGGGGACCTTTATTTGATACGTTTTGACTGAACAAGTAAGACTGACAGGTAAAATCTTACTTAGTGTACAGGGTTTAAGGGCCAATAACTTGGTCAGATTTATATTAAAACATGCAATTTGCGATTTTACTATAAAAAATTAAATAGTCTGAAATATAATTAATTCTCTTAATTATTTTATTTTGCTCTCTTGGATTAGATGAAGGTAATATTATTATCCTGATACATTTATTATTTTTTAATACTACAATCCATAAAGTGACTAGATTTTTGACAAAAAATAAGCATTTTTCAAGAATTGTAGTGAGGCATTATGTAGTTTTTACATAAAAAAAAAAAAAAAAAAAAAAATATTTTGGCTAAACTTAAAAAAACATAATCTTTTTAGTTAAAAGAAAAAACAAAAATTAAAAAAATATATAATAGAAGCTATAAGATATTAATTATGCCGAAAAATTTGCATATTTTCTTAGAAATGAATCTTTTTTAAGAATATCTTACTTTTTTAATAAAATATTTGCCAGACCATACTACATTTTGTCACATTTGTCTGGTCACTTTTTCTGCCCACATTATTTTTAAAAATACTCCTGAATTTTTAAAAATACGCCCTATTTTTTTTACTTCTTATATATCTATATATCCTTGAATTGTATTTTACAGGATAAAGCCTCTTATAACGACGACTTTGGCAATTCTGATGAAGAGGCTGCACCAGATGCCTATCTCGAACGTGTTAAAGCAGAAGGTAAATAATTTTTCTTAACAAGAATTTTTTTACGTATGATTTTATCACTTTTTTGATGTTTTTAGGGCAAGAAAGAGATGATGACGACGATGACGATGACGAGAGCACCGACGAGGACTTTGATCCCGACAAGGAAAAGGCCAAAGACAGCGACATTGCTGAAGAATTCGACAGTAATCCTAGCACTAGTGAAAGCGAAGCTGGCGAAGAGGGTTCAGGTATGTAATTTTGTAAAAAAAAATCCATAATTCTGTCTGTAAATATTGAAAATTTATTTTTTTTTGAAAATTTATTCATGGAAGTAAATCTGGCGAAAACGGAGGATGGTCTACAGGTAGTTTCTTTTTGTTTTGTGTCATTATAAAACCAGGAAGTTTTTTCTGAAGTATTTTTGGGGCGGTTCATTTGAACTACTGATTCTTAATAACGCACTAGGTGAAATTGGTGTCGTTTTTGACCTGTATTATGCTAAAATTGTTTTGCTTTCTTGTTTATATAGGTTTTTCTGATAAATAATGATGTGAAAATGATTAAATTACCAGTATATTTTTGGTTTTGTGTCATTAGACAATAAGAAAACATTGTTCTGAAATATTTTCTAGGTGGGTCATTTGAACTACTCATCCTTATCAACATACTGGGCTAAATCTTAAAAAAAAATTTTTCAAAACAAGTAATTGTGTTTTAAAACATGTTTTTAAATAAAATGTTTAAAACAACCCTGTTTGTTTCCATAGATGGTGAAAAGAAGGAAAGAAAAAGAAAGAAAGAAAAAAGAGCGCCAAAACTATATCGGAAAAACCGCGAAAACCGAGAAAATCCAAAAAAGACAAAGACGAAAACAGGCCCAAACGTGCAGCTACTGCTTTTATGCTGTGGCTGAACGCCCACAGGGAATCAATCAAAAAAGACAACCCCGGCATCAAGGTAACGGAAATCGCGAAAAAAGGCGGAGAAATGTGGAGGGAACTCAAAGACAAAAGCGAGTGGGAACAGAAAGCCGCTAAAGAAAAAGAAGAATACAACAAAGCCATGGAGGAATACAAGAAGAGCGGTGGAGGTGACAGCAAGAAGTCGTCATCGGACTCCAAGAAATCAGAGAGTAAGAAATCTTCGTCTTCCTCGAAGAAACCTGCAGCAGAATCACCTTCAAAAACTTCTGGAAGCTTCAAGAGTAAAGAATTTATCGAAGACTCGGATAGTAGTTCAGATGACGATGATAAAAAGAAGAAAGACTCAAGAAGGATTCTAAACCTGAGAAAGGAAAAAAAAAGCGACGATGAAAAAGGAAACTAAAAGTCCAAGAAAAGGATGAAAGTGAAGAAGAAGAAGGTTCAGACAGTGGATCTGATGAAGATGATAAAAGAAGAAAGCTTCTAAAAAGAGCGCTAAAGAATCAAAAACCTGACAAAAGAAAAAAGGAAGCGAAGATGAAGAAGAGGAAGGTTCAGACAGTGGTTCGGATGATGATAAAAAGAAGAAAGCCTCTAAAAAGAGTGCCAAAGAAGACAAAAAAGGAGACAAAAAGAAGAAAGAGAGTGAAGATGAAGAGGAGGAGGAAGAGATACTCAGCACACCCGAGTCCAGTGGTGCAGAGGATGATGATGATGAGGGCGATGATT